CTCAGCCAGTGAGTGGCCGGTCTGTATGTGGGATCCGAACCCTCGGCGGGAGTGCCGCCGCCGCGCTCCCAAGCAGCACACTGTAACAGTGCGCCACCGGGCCGGCCCTGGTAAGGGGATCTTAACCCTTGGCTTGGGGTTGTCAGCACCACACTCTCCCACGTGAGCCATGGGCCGGCCTGTTCTTAAGGATTTTTTTTGATTGGGAATGAATCAGGACTCCTCTATAAACTCTTCTTTTTTTTTTTTTTTTTTTTTTTTTTTTCCCCGTGTCCGGCAACGGATCGCAACCCTCAGTGTTGCCCCCGTACCGGACCGGGACCGGCAACGGGATCGCAACCCTCGGTGTTGCCCCCGCGCCTCGCCCAGCCAGTGAGCGGGAACCGGTCTGTATGTGGGACCCGAACCCTCGGCGGGAGCGCAACCACGCTTCTCAAGTGGCGCACTAGCGCAGTGCGCCACCGGGCCAGCCCCCCTCTATAAACTCTTCAACATGTATTCCTCAGACTAACCCCCAAGTAGCCAATCACTTTCCTTGATTTTAATTAAACAAAATTGGTCATAGGAATAAAGAAGATATCAAGAAAATTAGAGGAAAAAGTGTGGCGTGTTGGGAAGATTTGAAGGAAAAAGTATAAATTTCATACAGAAAAAGGGAGGGCAAGATAGAGTTTCCAAGGGCCCAGAGAGAAGTGAGTTGTTACTTTGGAGATAAACCTATTGGCTTATAAAGCATTTGGCCTAGAAATGTTGGATAGTGTAGTGATGACAACAGAGTGTAAAAGATTAAATTTGAGATGTTTCTTCAAGGCCAAATTCAAAATCCTTCAACATTAAAAAAAGAAATTCTTTTCTTTTTAACTCTTAATTTTCCCTGTACTACTGAGTCTTATAGTCTTGCAGTTTGACTACTGTCTGTTTTCTCTCTTCATTTCTGACCCTTTTTTCCCCCTCACCTTTATACCCCTTTTTCCTACTTCATCTTCCCTGATTTGGGCATCTTAGGAAACTCTGGTAAGCTTTATACTTACAGACTCAGCCAGTAAGTTCTCTAATGTACAGAGAGTTTCCTTTTCAATGGGCCAAAGTTTCCATTTGCTTCTTCGTGGTGTGTCAGGAATGACATCTCATTAAAATTGAACATAAAAGTCCTGAAGGTGCTTTGACTGATGTTTCTGTCAGGGCTTTGTTACTTAAGAAATCCAGAAGTTGAAAAATCCCCGTTCTCATACTCAGAGAAGTGTTCAGAGAAATCGACCTTGGAGACTGCTGCCTACTCTGAGACCGTGGATACTGGAAAGTTGGTGGGGTTTGCCCCAGAGCATGCCCCCCAAAGAGCCTTCCCTTATTGCTAGAAGCTGGGCGGGCTTTCTTTTCCTCCTACAAGTGGCAACCCGAATTCTGAGTTGAAAGTGAATCTTTGCCCTTGGCCCCTCTCCAGCATTCCTCGCTGAGCGAATAGGGATTTGGAATGTCAGAAAATAGAAGAGGGGAGGGGAAAAGATGTGTGTATGACTGTGAGTGTTTATATGTAAAAGCAGCTTCGTCTGGGAGGACTTAGGGAAACTTCTTCAGACTGCTTCCTTCTCATAAACTCGTGGTTCCTTATTTATATTTTTTTGTTTGTTTTTTGCTTTCTTAAGTTGTTTAACCTGAATTTATCAGCAGTTCTAACCCCTTTACAGTAAAATGGAGTCAAGCTAAGGGAAGACAGCATGATTTCCAGAGGATTTGTATTTCTTCCTTCTGGATAGAGTGACGGTAGTTATTCCTAGACTCGTCTCCAGCAGGATCCAAGGTCGTCTTTCTCTGGATTTAACCAGCAACCTAGAGTCAGGTTTTATTGGAGAACAATCCTCAATAAGAAGTATCATTTCAGGAGAATCCAGGACTCAGTCTAGGCATAAAAGGTGTCGCTCAGCACAGTACCCTCTACGGTAAGCTACCAGTCCTGAACACTTGTGGTTGAAGCTGAATTGAAAATATTGATGGAACACGCCTCTCAGACTCTGTTTAACTGTGGACTGGTGCAGAGCTCAAGACTATAATTTACAGGGCTGCTTTTATCCTCTATTTAGTTCTATCCAAAGTCATCTTGCATCAACTCAAAAGGAGAAATTCTGTGAGGGTAACCTACAGGGGCGATTCTCAGCTTTGTGTGAAGAAACCTGTGGTTGAGTGTCTGTCTCCATCCTGAGGAACCATGTCCTCTTTATATACCCGAAGTAAAGAATTCACTCGGAATAGGAAATCTCAGTCTGATTCTCCCCCAGCATCTCCTTCCCCGACTGCCAAGACACTCCGAGTAAGCAGCATTTTTTATTTATGTATGTTCATAGTTGTGTCAAAGGTAGAGAATATACATAGCTTTGGGGGTTGGGTTTAGTGCAAAGGCATTTCAGAGCATATGGGAATCAGTACAAGAAAAAAGAAAATTGGCAAGTAAAGACGCTGTTAGCTTCTCTGCAAGAGGTTATGGTTCATAATACTTAATATAGTCTTAAGTAAAAGCAGACTTAAATATGTCAGGCTACAATTTTTGTCTTTTAGCTTTTAACTATCAGTTGTAAACTGCTTGACAGTAAGATTTTAGAGTCCTTGTCACTATGTCTTACACTGCTCTTCTTATTTCTGTGGCTATATTTAGTTGCTGCCTTTCCTGTGTTTTATGGGTCAATACTATGTTTCGAGAGAAAAAACTGTCAGATGGCCATGAAACTGTATACACTGAACTTCAATTATGTGCAAGTTCTGTTTGCGTGTTTGTGTATGCATGGATATAAGATAGGAATGCCCTTGCCTATTCTGCACATCTGTCTGTCAGAGATAGAGAGAAAAACCAAAATGAGCAAGGAATCGTGGATACTTGGAACCTTTCTCCTCAGTCACCAGGTGCCCAGGAAATTTCATGCTTAAAATCTAAAGAATAACTCCTGGCCTTTGACAACCAGCTGTATGGAGGTGTTTATGATGTCCTAGGCAGAGCCATTTGAGACTTTTTTCCATTTTCTCTAGTGAATGTCTCTATTGAAGTGATTTACATATGGACATTTACATCTAGTTTAGTGTCTTCCTCTGTAGGAAGCTGACAAAAGCAAGAACTGCTACCAATAGCAAGCAGTGAGAAGCCCTGATGGGCATATTAGGTAGCAGGCAAGATAGCAGTTCCTTCTTAGGGAACTAGCTTGTGCTATACCATATACACAGGGTAGGAAGAGGGATAGTCATAGCTTCCGTATTTGGGAATGATGGGGAGAAAATCTCCAAGAAACCTTAATAGACAACTGTGTTTCTTTTCAGTTATTTTATGTCTATTTTCAACGTCTTTCTCATGGTGTAAATCACCATGGAATGGGATTTGGTGTATGGCACGTTGATCTGGGACCTCAGCCAGGGATGTTTAGTTACCAGAATACCAAGAGAATGTTGTTATGAACCTCTCTCATTCATAAGTTCCTTTTGTGATAGGACCAAGAGAGGCTCCAATGTCTATGTCAGTACCACTGAGTTCCATGAGTGTTTCCTCAACACATGGGCTGGAACCTTTCTTTTACAAGAAGCCACAGAATGCTTTCTCCTGGGAAGCTGTTGGGTATTTTTTGGTGGCTACCAACTGAGCTTCAAAAAACAGAGCACCTTTATTTCAGTTAGTGTTTCCCTTCCCTCTTATCATACTCAGTAGTACTTTTAGGTTTAAAGCCACCCACCTCCACTCCCCAAAAAAGGAAAAGAATAAAAAGATTAAAAAAGAGAGAAACAAACAAATAAATAAATAAATAAATAAAATTAAAAGAGCCCTACACCACTATCACCACAGTTCCCAGAGCAATGTGGGATACCTAGAGAGCATTTAACAAATATCTGTTTAGTCACCATCCTCCTTTATCCCTTTATTTTTCCATTTCTTCCTTAGAGTTAGGTACTACTTTCTTCTTGTCTCATTCCTAACATCTGCCAATCACCCTTCCCACCCTCATTCCATCACTTCCCATCCCCGCCTTATAGACAGAGGTCACAGTGGGAGAAAATTTGAGAATTTGGACTATAGGAATCCAAAACATGGATGGCTTTAGTAAGAGACTGCTTCCCAGTTTTAGTGGTCAGTGGTGTGTGTTCCCACAACAGCATCAGCTCACTGTACCCAACTTTCAGTGTCCAGATGGCTTGAGACCGTACTATAGAGAATGTTCATCTTCACTTACCACTCATATTCTATTATGTTTTTGATGTCTGAGAGTGAAAGATACAGAAGACTAATTTAGAAGCTGTTGATATTCGGAATTGGTTATAAAACAGATTAATCTCCTAAGATTCCGCTAGCCTAGCTCCTTTCCTCTCATGTCCAACTAATTAGGGTGCTCTTTAAAAAGTGGTTTTGGGTGCTCTTTAACAACTAGTTCTATGGTGGTGTTCTTGTGCTCGTGGGCCTTCTGATGCCTGGTTGTGACTGGCTGATCTGCTGGCTGGTTAGCTCAGTTGGTTAGAGCGTGGCGCTGATAGCACCAAAACCCAGGGTTCGATCTCTGTGCTGGCCAGCTGCCACCACCAACAACAGCAAAAGAGCAGAGGCTGGTAATTGGCTGATCCTCTGCTACCCTGAAAGGCAGGTATTGCTGTCCCCATTTACGTTTGAGGAAACTGAGATACATTGCCCTACATCCCTCAGCTAGTAAGCAGCAGTCTTGATTCAAGCTCAGGTCTTTCTGTCTCTAAAACCCATATTCATCAGCATCACTGGAGTACATATCAAATATATTTGAAGGTCAAGGGTAAGGATATGCTAAGGGGCAAAGGTGACAGTTAAAAACTTAAGTATATCCCCATACCAGCCAGCCACCAACAAAAGCTTAAGTAGCTGTGGGACTCCAAAATTTATCCATGAGGGGACGCAGAAAACTAAGATTGCAAGAAGGAGGAAGGCTGTGTCTATACCAAGGGAGGGAATGGACAGGCTATAACTGAATCTCTTGTGCCTGGCTCTCATATTCCATTCATACCCTCTGAGACCATGGACCCCACAGAGCCTAAGACCTTGTGAGCTACAGGGTCTTCAGATATCTCTCTTAAAGATAGAAATGCTTGGGCCTTTACAGGGAAGATCCTGGGAAGTTTCTGTGTGCACTTCAGAGTTAAGGTCAGGGCAGCTTTCTCATGGTCCTCATCCAAACTTCTGTGACTGGTATACATACCTACAGTTTTCAGCTAGAGAAGGCACAAAGTTAAAGAGGTGCAGCCCATGATCCAACATTCTTCAAAACAGATGATTGAAATCTTGAGCCAATATTTAAAAGTTAATGGTTGTTTTTTTAGTGTTGTTAAAGGGTCTAAATATGAATTGCTTCCATATAAGGAAAATGTCCTCAAAGAGAATTTTTAAATAATGGCTATTCATATGGAGAGAATATTTTGGACACCTTGCTCTTTAGCAAATATCTGAGTAATAAGTGTGAGCAGACTATAAGCTGTAACTCAAATGAGCATTATTTTTAACTTGAGAAAACAAAAGGTGTTTTAAATAATGGCTATTCATATGGAGAGAATATTTTGGACACCTTGCTCTTTAGCAAATATTTGAGTAATAAGTGTGAGCAGACTATAAGCTGTAACTCAAATGAGCATTATTTTTAACTTGAGAAAACAAAAGGCAGGATGATTTTTCAGTGACTGGAAAACTGAAACTGTTTTATTATATACCTTTACTTTTAAACTCCCAACAGCATCTGATACTTTTCATATTATATAATTCAGTGTTTCTGTATTCAGTAAACCTATGACCCTTTTTAATAACATAAAAATGTAAAGTTTGCCTGGAAATTGTGCAACTAATATACTCCCTGATGAAAAATCACTCATAAGCAAAAGATAGTACGTGTGCTCACTTAGCCAAGAAGATTTTTGTTTATATTCTGTAGTTTGTATTTCAAAAGTAGTAAATATTTGCATTCTTTGAACACAAAATTATGCTATTAAACATAGTTTTAAAAAATATACACCCCTCTTTCTCTTTTTTTTATTAAAATACTTTTTTTAAAGTTTATTTATTTATTAATATATATATTTTTTTACATTCTATGATTTTGTTTCGGAGCAGTTGGCAGGGAGGGGGAGAGGGGAAAGGGGAAGGAAATAGGGCAGGAGAAGGAGGAAGGAGGAGGGGCGGGATTGAGACCTTTGACACCCTCCCCCCCTCATTCCTGCATGGGAGACCAGGGGGCTTCCAGTGGTGGCTTGGTCATTGCTGGGCTGGGTGCAGATGTCAGCAGGATGTGGCTGAAGCCCTCACCCCCACCACCCCAGCTTAGGAGCCTGGGGCACTTCTTGCAGTAGGTTGTTGGTCATTGCTGGGCTGGTTGCAGGTGGGGAGGGCAGGGCATGGCCAAGACTTGAGGCCCCCCACTGCCCCGGCTCTGGAGAGCCTGGAGTGGCTCGGTGGTCATCGCTGGTGGTTGCAGGTGTTGGGGGATGTGGCTGAGGCCCCCAGCCCTTCCCCACTCCCTGGCTTGGTAGCCCAGGGGACTTCCGGGCCTTCTAGGTTTTATGGGTGTTCTTTGGTGATGTGAGACCATTACTAGTTAATATGAAACTTTGTGTCTGGTCTGTGGGTATTTTGTTTTTTCTTTCAGTTCTGTCTTAGATTATTTGCTGTTCCCACCACTTAAACTCTG